GTCTTGCAGGAACTGCTGACACACTCCAGCCACATGAGGTCTAGCATTGTCTTGCATTAGGAGGAACCCAGGGCCAACCGCATCAGCATATGGTCTCACAAGGGGTCTGAGGATCTCATCTCGGTACCTAATGGCAGTCAGGCTACCTCTGGCGAGCACATGGAGGGCTGTGCGGCCCCCTAAAGAAATGCCTCCCCACACCATTACTGACCCACTGCCAAACCGGTCATGCTGGAGGATGTTGCAGGCAGCGGAACGTTCTCCACGGCGTCTCCAGACCCTGTCACGTCTGTCACATGTGCTCAGTGTGAACCTGCTTTCATCTGTGAAGAGCACAGGGTGCCAGTGGCGAATTTGCCAATCTTTGTGTTCTCTGGCAAATGCCAAACGTGCTGCACGGTGTTGGGCTGTAAGCACAACCCCCACCTGTGGACGTCGGGCCCTCATACCACCCTCATGGAGTCTGTTTCTGACCGTTTGAGCAGACACATGCAGATTTGTGGCCCGCTGGAGGTCATTTTGCAGGGCTCTGGCAGTGCTCCTCCTGTCCCTCCTTGCACAAAGGTGGAGGTAGCGGTCCTGATACTGGGTTGTTGCCCTCCTACGGCCTCCTCCACATCTCCTGATGTACTGGCCTGTCTCCTGGTAGCGCCTCTATGCTCTGGACACTACACTGACAGACACAGCAAACCTTCTTGCCACAGCTCGCATTGATGTGCCATCCTGGATGAGCTGCACTACCTGAGCCACTTGTGTGGGTTGTAGACTCCGTCTCATGCTACCACTAGAGTGAAAGCACCGCCAGCATTCAAAAGTGACCAAACCATCAGCCAGAAAGCATAGGAACTGAGAAGTGGTCTGTGGTCACCACCTGCAGAACCACTCCTTTATTGGGGATGTCTTGCTACCTGCCTATGCTTTCCACCTGTTGTCTATTCCATTTGCACAACAGCATGTGGAATTGATTGTCAGTCAGTGTTGCTACCTAAGTGGACAGTTTGATTTCACAGAAGTGTGATTGACTTGGAGTTACATTGTGTTGTTTAAGTGTTCCCTTTATTTTTTTGAGCAGTGTACAATGGCACTTCAAACTATCAATATATACTTATAAATTCCCAAACCTTATTTTTTGTATTAAAATTTTTTTTGTCTTCTTTTCAGGAAACAGATTTTGTCTGTTTTGACGATGGATTTGACAAGTTTGACAATTACAACATAGATTTTCTCTTAGGCTCATTGGAACAGGGGAATGATGGTGAAAAAAAGGGAATGTCTGACCAAATCCAGGTGGCAGAGGACACTCTTGAAGAAACACAGCCATCAGTAGAAGAAGCAACTATCAGTGAAAATCAGCCTACACTCCATGATAAATCAGATCTTGATAAAGTTCCTGATGATCAAAGTGCCTCTATATCTGAACTTGATGTGGCAAATGAACCACCTCCAGTGAAAGTAGTAGAGTCTGATAGAGCAGCTACCCTTGATACCACTGAAAGAGCTGCCGAAGACACCAAAACTCAGCAGAAAAATGCAGTAGAGTCTATTCTTGAAAATGTGTCAGAAAGGAGCGAAACCAAAGATACATCCACAAAACCTGAAGTGGAATATGTGCCTAAAGATGGCGATATTTCAGAAAATGAACCAGTTTCAATTTCTGAAGCCATGCAAATCCCCAAGTTTAAAACTACCCTTGGCACAACTTTTGATGCTGTCACCACCGATGAAGAAATCACCAAAAAAGTCACCCCATATGAAGAGGAGGAAAGCAAAGAAGTGGAAAACCATCCTGAAGATGACATTGATGTTAAGGAAAAGACACCATTGTTGTCTTTCTCTAAAGAACGTGTAAGCACTCCAGTGTCCGATTCCCTTGAACGACAAGAAATTCCTCCAACAACACATGAAAGGAGTGACACCAAAGAAACACCCACAAAGGCTGAAGTAAAATCTCTGTCTAAAGATGATATTGTTTCAGAAGATGAAACAGTCTCTACTTCTGAAGGAGTGCAAATTCCTGAGTTGAAAACTACGTTTGGAACAACTTTTGATGCTGTCACCACTGATGACGAAATCACTAAAAAAATTACCCCATATGAAGAAGAGGAAAGCAGTGAAGATGTGGAAAACCATTCTGAAGATGACGCTAATGTTAAAGAAAAGACTCCATTGCTGTCGTTCTCTGAAAAATCAGCAAGCAGTCTAGTGTCTGATTCCCTTAAACAGCATGAAATTCCTTCAACACATGGAAACAGTGAAACCCTAGAGACACCAATAAAGTCTAAAGAAAAATCTCTGCCTAAAGATGATATTGTTTCAGAAGATGAAACAGTCTCTACTTCTGAAGGAGTGCAAATTCCTGAGTTGAAAACTACGTTTGGAACAACTTTTGATGCTGTCACCACTGATGACGAAATCACTAAAAAAATTACCCCATATGAAGAAGAGGAAAGTGAAGCTGTAAAAGATCATACTGAAGATGACACTGATGTTAAGGAAGAGACACCATTGTTGTCTTTCTCTAAAGAATCTGCAAACACTCCAGTATCCGATTCCTTCAAACGAGAAGAAATTCCTCCAACAACACATGAAAGGAGTGAAACCAAAGACACACCCACAAAGTCTGAAGAAAAATCTCTGCCTAAAGATGATATTGTTTCAGAAAATGGAACAGTCTCTGTTTCTGAAGGAGTGCAAATTCCTGAGTTGAAAACTACGTTTGGAACAACTTTTGATGCTGTCACCACTGATGAAGAAATCACTAAAAACATAACCCCATATGAAGAGGATGTAAGTGAAGATGTGGAAACCCATCCTGAAGATGACACTGATATTAAGGAAGAGACACCATTGTTGTCTTTCTCTAAAGAATCTGTAAGCGCCCCAGTGTCCAATTTCCTCAAACAGCAAGAAATTCCTCTTGGAGATGCTGGTTTTCCAGTTGTCCCTGGGGGAGAAAAGACAGCACAAGATCCGAGTTCAGAGGATGAGGGGGAAGAAGAAGCTACTGCAATAACTCATCCAAGTTTTGAGGAAACAAAAAAAGATGCGGAAGGACCACTAACAATAGAATCACTGAAAGAGCCAGAAAACAGAGCGCAAGTACTTAAAGACCTTCCTGATTCCATTTCTTTACAGTCAGATAATAAAGAAACAGTTGATTCTGAGAGGCATTTGTTTAATCTTGAGGAGGAGAGTGATAGAACAGTGATAAGACCTGAGGAGGGTTTGGCTAAAACACTAAAACTTACTGACGAGCCAGTACACCATCAAACAGAAGCAAGTGCAAAATCAGTAGATCCAGTATCACAAGATGATTTTTTTGCAAGCCCAGAGGATGAAAAATCAGATTTTGAAACAATACACAAACCACCCATTGAGGACAAAGAAAAAGAAGAGGCGTCAGAAGATTCAGAGCTCGGCGAGGATAATGTCGATTTACAAGATAGTAGCATTGATACTGAGCATAGAGAGGATTTTGACAGTGCACTGGAGAAAAACAAAATGGTGACTGATCAAGAATTGGTCATTATAGAAAGCACAAAAGATAAGAATCCATTCACTGAGGAGACACAAACAAACAATTTGGTCAAAGATAATGAAAATATAGTAAATATGAGCCTACCTAATCAGATAAATGACAATTTGATGATAGAAAGTAATAACAGTCAACTAGAATCATTTGTTGAGGAACCACATACTGAGGAGAGGGAAGATGAGATCAATCCAGAGATAGAGGAAGAGAACAATGAGGAGAAAGAAGAATTACTTGAAGATGAAAATGCTCTTTCACAGTTAGAAAACATACACGTTGACAAACCTTCACCTGAAACTGGAACTCTACCTACTGCATCGACTCTAGAGCCAGAATACAGCGATAGTGTCATGAGACTGACTCTGCTGCGAGAGCACTTCACAGAGGCGTACATGCAACATTTCCAAAACCATCTGGGCCTCAAGAATCTTTTCAAAGTAGAGGCCATGTTCTCTGACTTGGACACAGAGTTACAGGCTACCTATCTCTCAAACACAGGCACCACGCAAGACATTGAACGTGCACTTGAGAGCATCCTCGAAACCTCAGAAAATACTATCTTGGCAGAGATTGAGAAGATGCTGGATAGCCAGGACACAAAACACAGTTATCACCACACTATGGACACAAGTAGTTTGGATGAAGAAACACAAATACTAGATGAGTTTCAGGAGCTTGCATTCAGGCTACGACACAAGTATTCAACAGCCAGTGACAGCACGCCTTTGGTCATGGAAACAGCATCAGGTATTGATAAGGGTAGGTTTGATTTGATTTTTAAATATTTTAATTTGAATAATCTGCCATTGCTTTTTCTGGATGTAGAAGTTTCAGAAGCATGTACATTGCATCAGCTTTTGTTTCACAGATAAGGGCAGTGCAGAAGTTGATACTATGACACAGCAGATAAGCTGCACTGAATTTTTCTTTCAGGCCCTATTCAGACCTGGATCTTGTTTCCAGATACTGTATATCCAGATTTTGCTTTGATCCATTTAAAAGGGGATTGCAGTTCACACCCAGCACCAGAACACATCTCCAGTAACCATATGGGATAGGATTTCACTTTCCTGACAGTATATTACAGTTTCTGTTGTAAAGAACAAAAATACATGTTAATGCTGGAACACACCGAAGATGATTTCAACTGCTGTTTGATACCTCATCCTTATAACTTTGAAAGTCTTGTCCTACATGTTCAGCATTATTGATTTAATTATTCTCAACTTATTTTCAGGCTCTATACACTACAAAATTGTATAAGTGTATTCTCTGCTTGGCAGCTAGTCTTTAGCTTCAGCTATTTGATCCAGCTGTATCCTCAGTGTGGTTAACATGTTGTCTTACCTGCACTTGTAATTGGATAATCAAAGACAGATTTTAGTACAAAGTGCGGACAGGGCTTAATGCACATGTTGAAAGACCACCTTTCTTCCCATGACTATAATTACCAAGAACAACATATTTATTTTTCTATTGTCATTAGGAATTGGAATTGCCAGTCAGATCAGTGCATTCCTAGGTGTCATGTGGTGTCCCATCCAATTTCAGATTACACAGATTAAAAACACTTGGCTCCAGTTGATGAGCATTCAGGCCCCAACACTTCAAATTTATATTGCAATCTTCCTTTCACTTTAACCACCTTTCTTGCATGTCTCAATCTTTCCACTCTAGATGACCATAAACCGAATGTTAAAGACTACATCCCCCACATAGATGAAGAAGACAGTGTTGACAGTGTCCCTGAGACTGAGAGTGATAACCTCACAGTAACAGATTATGAGGAAAGGTCAACAGAGAGTGGAGGGGAACAGATAGTTTTGAATGAAGTGCACACTGGACCAGACGTCAGTGTGGAAGAGGATAGTGGACACTTCAACAAAAACAAAGACAACCAGCCAGGACTTAGTGCATCAGATGGAATGCAGAAGGCCCCACAAGCCACTCTGGAAAATCCTTTAGACGTGGGTCTTGGTGTTGAGATGGAGCACTCATCCTCGGGTTGGTAGTCTAGATGGCATGATTGAAGCAATCATATATTCCATTCATACATTTATATAAAATGTTATTTCCTTAGCTTGCAAGTTTTCTAATCCTAGAAACAAAATCTACTCTGGTTCCATTGTGGAGGTGTTCATTTTTAGATTACTGGTGCCAAGCACTGACATTTAGCTGACATTTCTGTTCAAGAGTCCTTACAGTTTGCGGCATAATGAGAAAATGTAAACCTGTTTTGGACTTGGATTACAATAAAATATGGAACAATGAGCTTCAAAAGCTCATTCCTGTGGTCACCAATTGTTTGCACATTGAACTATATGAGGTTCTATTACGTTAAAGTCATAGAGTCTTGTTTGCATCTGTCATAGTCACATTATTTATTTGTAATGCATGAGATGACAAACTTCAAAGGAAGATTTCCCTTTGTCTGACATGTACAAAGTTAATGACGGGTCGTTTTGTTCCTGAAGGATCTCTGGACTCAATGGAACCAGTGTCTGAAATTCATGAAGAAAAAGTGGGATTATTCTCAACTGTAATTCTTTACACGGGCTGCATCCTTTCGATGATCAGGAGTAAAACCACAGAGTGGACCATTGTGGTAAGTCTAAGGATTGTAAGCAGCGCTAACTTTGAAAAGTAACTAAAGTTGTCAAATGAACGTAGTGGAATAAAAAGGACACTGCATGCACTAGCTTTGTCAGCTTGTTTTTCTTACCTGTATTATGCAGGGTATATTTGAAACACTTCAATCCATAAAATCAATGCAGAAAAATGTTTATTACCTTTGTAAGCATTGACTTTCATTCTTCTGACTTCAACTATTACCTAAACCAGTGTTTCCAAAGCAAACTAAAATGCCTCGTTTTTAAAACAAGGAAAACAACACCAGATACTTCATGTAACACAGTATTAACTATAAGGCTCACTTTACTAAACCCAGATATACATCGGCGCAGAATGAAAGTAAATTTAGAGGCAAATCTTGTCCTTTTTATTCCACTACATTTATTTGACAACTTTAGTTACTTTTCAAAATTAGATTAATAAAACTAAATACAGTATAATAATAATAAAATGTTATTCATCCCAGGTGCGAAATTTACAAGCTACCCAGCAGTATGTAAAGTACTCAAATATAAGGTAGTTAAAAGTAGGTCAGTCTTTACCAGCTGCAACATTAAGTGTGATGTGCACATCTAGTTCTAATTTCGTAATATAATTCATGTGAAATGGGCCATTCTGCATAATGAATACTTTTACTATATCATGTATATTTTGATGGTAATACCTTTGTACCTTTACTTGCACTGTGGTATTGCTAGTTTCTACATTTACTTGACGTTAACTAAGCAATCTGAGTGCTTCTTCCACCACTGCATATGCAACATCGGATGCCATACGGCACCGTCTGTTTCTTTTACAGTTTTAGAATGTATACATTTTAAAATGACCCTTCAACGTGAGGTTCTGTGTCGGAGAAACATAGAAAATCTGATTTCTCCTGAACGCCTCACGCCTCCTCCCCCCGGTCTTGTTGACTGCCGCGGGGCTGAAGTTTAACAGCCGGTGCTGAGCTGGCTACTAGCGCAACCGGCGGGCCTCATTTTGCCATGTGTAGCAAAGGCAGTAATTATAACAAGACACGGTCTTAAGATAAGCTCTGCGGTGTCAAATTAATGTAGTCTGTCAGTCGCTTTTTGTATTAAAGCTGTTATCCACATTTGAACCACCGGCTTGACGGTTGTTCTTTTGCTAGCGAGCGGGATTCGACGACTCATCCGTATTTACCTTTAGCCTGCTGTTGTTGCCAAGTCCTACTTAGCAGCTAGCTCGACTGTCAAACGTTGTCAGTGTTTATAACGTCGAAGTTTATTTTTCAGACAACACCGGTATTGACGGCTAACGCTATCTTAAGTACAGTTGACTAAGTGCTAGCTAGCAAGCCAATATCTATCAAAGTAGGATAACGCTACTTAAGCTAGTTCCGTTTTTGTTTCAAAGACTAGCATGGAGAGTGATACTTCACCTCGATCTGTAATGGAACCGGATCACGTTTACGTGTTTTTTCTGAAGGAACTGCAGCATGTAAGTGAAAAAAGTAGTCAGCTCGACCTCCATGTTACATATTTATTATGCTATCACGGCCTGCTGACGTATTAATGAGCATATGGCTGATTTCATACCGACTTGCATAACGTTATAAACTACTCCTGAATGTAATCTGCTAACCAGACTTATACAAAATATGCAGTTGATTGCGGACAGAGGGTGTACTTTTAAAGGGTTTATACATCTTATATCACTGTTGCTGTAGATTAGAGTTTGAATGTCCTGAAACTTAGTAGGTTACAGTTAGCTTACGGTACTACATTTGTGCAATGTTGAGCAAGTAGAATTTTGAAATGCTGTCTGAGAAGGCTGAGGAGACTGTGTTAAACTTGCCAGCTAATATGATGTGTTAATTTATTTGTAATGCTTGCATTTCATTAGTGTATGTCTTTGTGCCTGTCTGGACTACCACTTGCTCAGTTCAGAGGTTTCTTTGTGGTTGGAGCAATACAAGTTCTTCTTGGTATGAGTGGACATTAAAGAAAAAGCCACTGAAACTGGTGATAAAATTATCCTTAATTTTGGTTTTTGTTGTGATGCCTAAAAGCGCCATATGACAGCAAACAACCATTGTGTGATGATTGATTTAAATTAAATTAAAATAATCTCCATCAGGCTTGTAGTTGTAAATTTGTAAGTAGCAGGTGAATGGCAAAATGGGTTTTCTATCCCATGGAACCACTGTAACAGCAACCATGTATAGTACTGTAGGATATGGTTCGTCTTACCATTGCTAACTCTGAGAGACGAGACAGTCCAAGTAACTTCAAAACAGTGCTGATTTATTCAAAGGATCACAGGTAAATCTCTGTTACCAGCTTTGCAGCTGGTCATAGCAGTAGTCAAAACATGAAGCAAATCAATGTGTGTGTCTGTTGATTAAGTGGTGTGTAGCTAAAAACATTCTCACGACCTCTAGTAACATGTCGTGACTTAAACATAAGAACATATTATGGCTAAGGCTACAGTTATACACGTCGTAATAATAATATTAAACACCCTGTCTGCTGACAGTCATCAACTCTTCTCTCTAGTTATCCTTGACCAGATGTACCCTGTAGAAACTCATAAGCAGGCCTAAGCATTTAACAGTCTAACTAGACATCCTATCTCCACTAAACATTTCTAATACATAAAGTATCTATCTAATTTCTATCTGACTAAAAATACCTTACAGTACCAATAATACTTTAAATGGTGAAATATGTAAGAAGTCCCTACTGGCATAGTAATGATTATAGTACTGGCAGGAAGCCTGTAGAAGAGTTTGTTAGGGTGACAAGTTGACTTTTGCACCTTGCCTTTTTGTTGCTCTTGGGTTGCACTTCTGTTTATTGCTAATAAACGTAGATTTTAGCATTCATGATTGTGGCATAAGAACACCATTTGGTGTATACAATACTTGGTTTTAATGTTAGTGTACAGTAATCTTCTCATAACCTTTCTTCTCAGAGATGTGAATAGATTAACAGATCACTCATTGCTGGGATTTTGATTGAGTACACAGTACCTCAGTCTAGGGGTATGTAAACATCAAAAGTCAGCTTGAGGCTTGCTGTTGGCTTGCTGCAGTATTTTATTATGGCCGACAAATATGTACTTGTGTTCTGTTTTTATCTTGCCTTTATACGGTGTTAGTGAAACATTTTTAAAATCATGATAGGAATTTGTTATGCATACTTTTCCTACCATTTATTTGACTTAACAACTATGTTTTCCATTCTTATTTTTAACCTGACTATATGCCTTAATATCACGTTTGTATTTGTGTATCTTCAGATGATTTCACTACTGCCAGAAGAGTGGAAGCCAGGAGAGACTCTGTTTGGCTTTCCTTGGCAAGCAGTTGTCATCACTGCTTTAGTTGGAATAGTGACCTTCACCCTCTTCTTCTGGAGGACTGTGTTGGTGGTAAGTGATAGTGTTGTTCCCGTCTCTGCTCCAATTATGTGCTAGTATTTCCTATTATGAGCCTGATTCTCCCTCTGGGCTTCCTGTGGATTGAAATTGACATTCTATAATATTTTCATTATCTGGGTCATTGTTGAGGACTATTCCTGACATGATGAAGCTACATTACTAAATATTCATGGTGACTGTGCTGTGACAAGACATCAAACTTATGAGATTGTTTATTGCATTATTTCCTTTTTTAGGTAAAGAAAAGAGAATACCTTGGTAAGTTTTTAACTTTCTTCCTTTGTGTACATATTATTTATATAGATGTGTAAAACCTAACTGATTTGTATGTGTGGGGTTTTTTTGTACTTTTGTGGGAAAAGTGGATGAAAAAAGCCTCAAAGGGCAAATACAGGCACTCAAAAAAGAGAAGAGTGATATTCTGGAAAAGATGTCTGAACTCCAGAAGCAGGTGAGCTACAGGGAGAATGCGATCAATATCTAGTTATTTTTGAAAAGTTATCATTTCTGGAAATAATTAAATTTTTTTTTTTTTTTTTTTAAAGACTGAACAACTGAAAGAAAATCAAAAGCAGTCAAAGGAAACTGTTAGTGTTACAATGAAAATGGTACAAGACCTGGAGGTAAGCACTGAAGAATTATTTATAAATATTTACACCTTCTGTGTAGACTTTAATAATGAGGAATGCACCTTATGGCTTATGGATGTGTGTTATTTGGACAGCAAGTTTGTTAAGGACTGTTAGGGAAGTTTCTCTTGTTCCTGTTTTGCAGAGTAAAGTTTTGGAGGCAGAAACCCAGAATAACCAGATGGCTGAAGAGAAGAACACATACACAAAATTACTCAAAGAAGAGAGGGCAAAGTCTCTGCAAAATGAAACCAGGGTAATTGTTTAATATTTTTAGCCTCCCTGGTATTACTTTAACTGTCTTCTCCAATCCATGATGTTTAATATTTTTTTAACAGATTGAGAAGTTGGAGAAGTCAAATGAGAAGCTACAACTCGCCAGGAAAAAGATTCAGGAAGCACTTGCTAAGGTGCATATCCTTGCATAACCTTTTGTGCTTTACAAGATTTTTGGTTTCAGCATATCCAGTAACCTGCATACCTTTACTACAGACTACTGTTCTCCTGGACGAGGCCAAGATTCGTGAAGATGCCCGAAACGTTCAGCACAAATGTCTTGAGAAAGAGCATGCAGCAGCGAAAGAAGAAAACAAAAGGGTAGGATGACCTGTAGACTCTTGCGAATACTTTCTTGATCAATGAGACAGGTTTTGGTTCCTAAAGAGGTACACGTTTTATTGCAAGTTATTACATTTTACAGTCTTTTTACATTTGATGTTTCACAAATGGGATTTCTAATTTCTAATTTCAATTATTCAAAAACCAAATGTTTTAAAGGATAAGGTTGTTTGTTTTCTATATCAGTAGTATTTTCATCAATTTCTATACAGACTAAAGCACACCGCTGCACTGGGTGACATGTTTTTTCATTACAAAACACCAGACCTTACTAGGATGCCCCAGAGATTCTCTGCATCCATAATTTTGAAGATGGCATGAGTCGGAGTCAACTACACGTGCAAGATTTGTGCGAGCTCTCAGCTTTGTTTATATTCTGCTAGTTGCCATGCAAGAAAAACATGCTTGTGTCTGGCGTTTGCTAATGAAGAAACATGTCACCCAGTACAGTGGTGTGTTTTACTGATGTGTTTTCAGTAATTTTTGAACAACAATGATGACAACGGAGACGAACAAGCCACACACTGACAGACATTAACCACGAGTAGAGGCAATTCATTGGTGGTTTTAGTCTCTGTATGGGGAGTACTGCTAATATAGAAAATGACTGACCTTGTCTGATGCATCTCTGTAAGTGAAACTGGATCATTTATCTTGACAATTCTTACAGCTTACAGCTACTATTAAGGACTGGGAGGAAAAACACAAGGAGCTGAGTGAGCAGATTAAAATCTATCACAAGTCCCAGAAAGAGCTTGAAGACTCTGTGGTGCTCAAAGATCACAATGTAGAGGTTAGTTTTGTTTTTTTTAACCTACTGTCAGTTTTGCTTGGTAATCCCATTTCACCTAATTGTCCTTCATTTGCATCAAATCATTGGTTGACCCCACACAAAAATTTCTCTGGGCAGGTGCTGTCTGAACTTCTGTCAGATCTCGATGCTTGCGATTTACAAAAGAGTGACACCAGAGTTTTAGCCAATGGAGAAGTTGCACCTGGTAAGTCTAACTTTGTTACAAATTTAGGAGACAACATAATTCACTTGCAAATAAATTCAGTTGCTTGTAAAGCCTACCACACTTTTGTAGTTCACAATTTTGGGTTGGGTGATGTTAAGCTGTTAAATAAACCACTGTTGTAGAGTAGAAAATATTTAATATCTTTCCAATGTCTGTTACAGATAAAAACACAGCCATAAAGAACAGAATCAAACAGATGATGGATGTTTCCCGGGTACGGTGTCAAGATACAGATCACTGGAAGATAAATTTTATGATACTTTTTCTGTGTTAATATGCTTTTTGTTTGTTTTTTGTCATTAACATTATTTCTTTGCAGGTCCAGACAGCTCTCACAGTAGTTGAAGAACAGCGTGATCACTTCATGACCAAACTACTTGATGAAGAAAAGTCTAGAAAGGCACTGGAAGGTGTGTTGATCATGTTTCTTTTGATTTTTTTTTTAAAAAAAAGAGAGGTTTTAAGGGAAAATGCATAAATGTTTGAGTTTTGAATACGACCATGTCCCTGCCTCTCACTAAACATATTGTTTTGCAACAGAACAACATCGGGAGCAGGAGCATGCAATTGCAAGCCTAAAAAGTGAGAAGAGCCATATTGAAAACCAGTTTAAGGTCCTCCAGCAGAAAAATGAGATCATGGTTGAAATGTATCAGCAGAAGGAAAATGCTCTGCAGCAGTAAGTGAAGTCTAAAGCAGTCATTCTACATTGATGTTACATGCTGCTACATTTTTCCTGCAAGCTTTAAATAAATATGTGACCAATAGTTTGATTTCAAATATTGAGAAGTTTTGTGACACAAAACTGGGAACAGTAGTGCAAGGATTTTGTTGCATTTCATTTGAATTGCGGTCGTTTATCCATGGTGATTGTATGAAGAATTAGCTTTATTGTTTTAGCAAACTCCAGCAAATAATCTCATGATTAAAAGCTCATCTTTGAAATGGAAAAGATGTGTATGAACTTTTATGGTACTGCTGTTGAAAGGAACATGTCTCTGGGTTCACAGGAGATTAACAAAGGAGGAGCTGGAACGACGCAGCAAAGAGAATTTGCTGTTTGAGGTGGGAGGAAAAGCCCTTGAGGCTGAGGAGCAGGTAAAAGTCTTAAGGCAACGCATTAATGAAATGGAGGAGCAGATGAAGAAGACAGAGGAAGTCTACAAAGAGCAGGTAGACTCTTGTTAAGCTTAATATATTTAAATAAGCAAATGCAGAGCAAAGTCTTACTGAAACCTGAACCCTGATTAAACACCTGTATCTCTGCTTTCATTTGTTCTTAGATAAAAGAACAGGAAAACAAAACACACTCTAATTGGGTATGTTTGAGGTTTTTCTTGCATGGCAACATGCTATAAATTGATATCTTAGCCTGTTTGGGGTTATCAGTATCTGAGGCATGATTCTAGTTGCATGCTAATGTCTTTCATCTCCAGGTGAATGCTCGTAATGCAGAGAGAGCCGTGAATCAGGAGAAGCTTGAAGCAGCAAAGCTCCGTGAAAAGTAAGGGTTTCTAGACTTGAATTCAAATGTTTGTGTTTTTGTAGTTATAATTCCGCTATAATATTTGATTTTTAATTTTCTTATAACACTTATTGTGTTTACTTCTTCACAGACTGGCTGTACTCACCTCGCAGCTAAATGAGCGGCGCGTTCCTCTCTTCAGACCAAACTCTGGACAGCCTGCAGGTCCTCGCCAAGGTAATCAGGCCATATCCATTTCATTGCTGTTTTCTCACAACCAGAACAGGTCTCGTCCTAAAGACCTTTTAAGGAAGGGTTGAGGTTTCTAATGAAGTTCAGCATCTTTGCCTTTGCTACATGAGAGAGGATTCCATTTCTGTCACATTTGTTGTACTTCGCCGAGGAGAACCTGGACTACCTCTTTCATGCACAAATTATTTTGTTGGCCATTTCTCTTCCTTTGGTAAATAGCTGGTTTGATCATAACAGGTGATTCATATGGGGCCTCTCCTGTGAGTGGGGGCGCACCATCCCCTCCAATAATGATAGAGGGCCCCAGACGCCCTCCTTCTGCCCCAGTGGGGCGACGAATTGACCCATATGGTGAGTCCAAGTGGAATACTTCACCTTCTCTTAACTTTCACTACAGTTGGACATCATCCCCCTGCTACTATCAGTCTGTCTCCTTTTGACTTGATTCTTTTCAGCTCTTTCATCTTCTTGAGTTCTTCCTTTTTATTTCTTCCCAGTGTTTTGCATCCTGCATTTTCCCGGTACTTCTGTCTTCAACTCAGTTCTTCCTGTTTTGAATCGTTTTGTTGGCCATTTAGAAATTTCTTTTTTGAGGAAGATTTTTCTTACTATTAAAATTCACAGTTTTTAGCATTTTTAAATGCATTAAAAATGTCTTCTCTTAACGATCTATGTAATATGAGAGTCAGGGCCCTATAACTAAACAGTCCTGATAAAGCAGATTAGCTGAATATTTTCATGTTATACTCTAAATAAAAATATATATATTTTGATTATTGTTAATAGTGTTGACTTGAGAGTTTAATCATGTTTTCTGAGTCTTCAGACTCATCCAGTAATTCTTTGTTCCTCTTGTGGATTTCCTCATGGGGTACAGATGACCAAGCTTTACCTTCTGTCTTAACTGGAAAGGTGCTGTAGACAGAGTTTTAAAAGGTTTCATTCTTCATTGTGTCTTGTTTTCATGTCCCCTCAGGTCCACGACCTCCATCAGAACCTCATGGTCGGTACCCTGAAAACAAACACCTCCCTGGGATGGGTATGTCTTCTGTAGGCTCTGTATTTCAGGTGGTGCCTAAGCCAACACTTGTTTTTTAACACTGCGCTGTTTCTCCTTTCAGACATGATGGGCCCCCGTAGCTCGTCACCTGCCAACATGGAAGGATCTGTAAGTCTTGTGTATTTTTCTGACTACATCAGGTTCATTTGTATTTAATACCTTCCCTCCTTCCATCTGTAGCCCAGAAGTCCCTCCCTTCATGTCCATTGTATGTGCCCATTGCTCTAAAAACAGACACAAGCAGTAGATCCACACATTAAAGCTGAGGCCTCCACAGAGAGTCCAGATCCAGTGAGTATAGAGGCTGTTCAGTCCAGGTGCTTGGTTTTGAAGGTTTATGCAAGCACTCCTCTTCCCTAAAACTGGATTTGGAAAGAAATTTAAGGCATTTTGCTTCGTTGGGATCACTGAATGTTTTGGGCTGAGTGTTTGGTTTCACTTACTCTCACTGACAGACTGACAGACGTTGCTTGTATCAGTTTTAAATTTATACTTGGATCTGTAAAGGCTGAAAAGTGTGTTTCTGAGGTTGAGTGTTTGGATGAAAAAAAAATCTAACTCCTTTTGCAAAGGTACATGGTGTTTGGTATTGAGTTGGGACTAAATGCACTTTTTGTTGGGAATAAAATGTGCATGACTAAATTTAAATGGTTCTATATCTAGAGAAAAATACTAGTGCCATCATTTTCTCATTATCTGCCTTCATCTGTCTGTTTCAGGGGCCTGGATCTTTCCTGGCATCTCCGATCAGGGACTCACCTGGCCCTGGACTCAGTGACCCACTCATGCCTCCTGGACCGCACAGCCGTGTGCCACCACCTGGACCTTACAGACATCCACGATTTGGACTCTACCACTTCCCACCTGGACCCCATGGCCCCCCTCCTCCAAATGTACCGTCCTCTCTTCACGGGCCTCCGCCACCAGCTAACGGACACCCAGGTATGCCTCTGCCTGGACCAGTGGGAGGAGACTTTGGACCTCGACCTGCCAACGGACTTGCTTTCCACCCCAGATTGGGCCCTGGCCATGTCACTGACCCTCGGGGCCCACCAACACCACACTTCCGCCCCCCTCTGCCTCATGACTTTGCACCTCCGTCACATGGTACATTCTACCTTTTCTTTTATTTTCAGAACATGATCAGTCTATGCTGTGGTGCCGGAAAGTTTGAGTGTTAATATTTCCCTTTTCATATGTCCTGTTCAGGTGCTCGTGGACCTATTGGACCACGTCCACCCATCCCTCCTGACATGCGCTTCCCAAGACCTCGTGAACCCACCAGCCCACCAAGGAGCCTGCCCCCGGGTGTCCCACCACATCCTGGGGATGTTTATGATCAGGCTCCACCCAATCTTCTCCACAACTCAGCAGGAGCTCACAGTGGCCCAGGACAGTACCTGCAGGTGAAGCAGGAGGCCTCTCAGAACTCGGCAATGGTCAAGCCTTAAAAATACCACCAGCTACAGCAGAGGACTTGAAAATCATTACCCTGAACACACCATGTTAACAAACCGGATCCAGTCCAAACCCAGGCCATGATTATTTTCATATTTCAGCTATAAAATAAAAACCTTAAACATTTATTAAAAACATGGTTCTTTAATTAAAATATCGTCAATGATTGTCTGAAAAAGTAAACATTCACAGGGTTGTCACTTTTCCTTTTTTAAACAGCTTATTGTGCAATAACACTTCATTATATACCATTTTCATTAGTGTTGATCTTTAAAATTTTATAAATATATATGGGGGTGGTGAATTTTTTAAATGTCATTTCCTGTGGAAATTATTTTGAAAAATGACAAAGGAAGAGAGGTTTAGCTTCTAGCATTTCAGGAATACCACAGTTTTCCCAAAGCTACAGCTTTAGAACAAATTACAAAGTAAATGTGTAATTGATGGCCAGATGTATAACTTATTTTACCATGCTGGTAGAACTTGTAATAATAAAGAATGTAAAAGCGATCAATGTTGTGTTAACGGGTTACAGTTAATACACAGTGGGTGTATTTTTGCTGTGTGGGTGTGTTGAAGGTCTTCATTTTGAGAAATAAGGCATACATTTGGACAGAAAATATGAGAAACCTCTTAATAGAATTCATGATCTTTCTTGGCACTTTAAACAATTGTCTCATAGGATGTGCCTATTTTATTACTTAAGTATAATTTAAAGTACTTTAGGAATTACCTGTATGTCCAAAACACATGTACTATGGCCTCAGCAAGATTTCACTAAGTTTCTCGCTGTTCGCACACGGCATTTTGACATTTACCTCTTGCATTGTAGGTAAACTGCATTACACCTGGCTCATTAGGATGCACTGCCTCAGAAGTAGTAGCAGTGTAAAGTGTGGTGCTAATCTGAGTTTATCCAACATACAGAGAGATGCTAAAGAAAGATGTGTATTTAGGGTTTGAGTCTGATGTCTCGGAGAAGGGTATTTCAGAACCCACCTCATTTTATTTCATTCATACAGAATGTACATTATGGCACTCCTATGCTCATCAAAGCTGATTGCAAATCATTGGAAATAAATACCCTTAAAAGTAAACTATTTTTAAACTAATCAAATTTTTATTGTGAAAGTTTGCTTTTTTTTTTAGTTTATTCCCTGTTAAGTAGCATTAATGGACGAGGATGACACCACAACAGTTTGCATGATCTTTTAATACGTTCCAGTGAACATACTCGTTTTAAAAATGACAAATGGTCCCTGATAAGGAAAAATATTTTACAAATAAATGCATTCAAGCAAGAAACAAAAGCAACTTGAAAAGCTTTGCAGAGAGAATGAAGGTGTATTTCAGATTAATGTGGGAGTGATCTTCAGTCAGTGAGTGGCCTTCAGGTGGTTAGTGTTTGTAGAATCACATGCTAACAGCACAGTCTGTTCACTGGATGAAATTATCCGCTGAGATGCTTCATTCATAGTTTATTAGAAATAATAGCATTTTAAATGTTTGATACAATTCCATCAATCTTTCAAAACTAAAAACACTCAGTCCTACCACATCATTGCTCTTCATACTGTACATACAGTTTTAATTGTATATTAATCAGTTAGTGTATCTTACAGTTAATTTACAGTCCTGAATATTGAGATGTTACAAAAATAAAATCTAAAATCAAATATTACAATGTAGATGTTTTAGTGAAAAAGAACATCTGCAAAGTCAGAATAGAAACAAACTTCATTAAAAAAAAAAACGGTGGCATGAGATTTCAAAATAAGTAATGGGCAGTAAAGATGCATCATCTATACACAGTTCTGTTTCATTCAGATATAACTGCATACATAAAACATTTGATCTGCAAAATTGTACTAGATTAAAACACCTCTTCCTGGCAGGTGATGAACAATCCTACTTGCTTAGGGAAGAAGAAAAACAACTGGTCTGCGACGCAGGTTAACACTGTAGACAGATCCACAGCATTCAAACCATGCTGCATCCATTTATGCATTTACAAAACTTTGTGCAACAGTATTTAAACACTAAATTCCATATATACTGAAGCATAAACACTGAAATGTGTAACTCAGAATTACAGGGACATTTATTTGCTTCTGGGTTGTAATTGTAAAACCAATTTTCAGAGTATAAAAATGTGGCATTTTAAGTAAAATTCTGAGCAATTCTGACTGAGGCCAACAATCTTTGAAATGTCTTACCTCTGAAAATGCCAGTTACCCAAGCAAAAAGAAGAGGCATCTAGTCAAAGACACCCACTGTATGTGTAACATTCAATGAATGCCACTGCTGAATCCAACACTACTACTGCTGCTAGGCCATAATGGAGTCTGAAGCGTGCCAGCATGACTGTCTCTGTTTTCAGTTTAAAGATGCGTAAGCCATCTGAAAGCTGAAAGTCCAGCTCACTGAGCAGCAGAAACTGCTCTGATTGGTCAGTGCACCTTCTGCTTTAAATCAAAGCTCCGCTAATCAGTATTTTATATTAATATGTCAAATCAGCGACATCCCCACAGAGAATTATCACCTAACGCTACAGCTCAACTCTATGGAGCGTTGTAGTCTTTCAGCTCATGGTTTTGGTATTATGCTCACAACACTGTTTTTGTACAGTCTTGCTGCTCTCAACTCGTTTCTAGTCAAAGCAGGCAACTGTTTTCCAAAAAAAAAAAAAAAAAAGAAACAAAAAACCCCACTGCAACAGACACAGCATTTAGCAGCTAAAGAGTGTCAGAGATTAATCTCAGATGTTTGCTGAGACCAATTATTGAAAGCAAAAAAAAAAGTTAATACTACACTTGCATTTATCAGGTTTCCAGGAACACAACTCCAAATGAATACTGTTGCTCTGTGTCTGCTAGATGTGTAAATAACGTTTTGATAATTAACGTAAAAGGTGATATGTAAATGTGTTTATAGCTCGTATCTACTCCCAGTTAATACAGGTTAATAATAAAGCACTAAATGTAGAAAATAAAACTGAGATGGAATATGTTAGGCACAGTAGTGAAAGGTTGTTTTTTTTTTATGCATCGTCTTTTTTTAAATAATTTTGTGATTTATTTTACGGCATAGTTGACGGTTTAACAGAATAAATACTGTCAAATCTTTTTACTCTTTTGCAATTCATAATTTAAATGCAAATTTCTTTAACCGTTTGTCAAGGCATGTATAAATTCAGTGATTTATTATTTGATTATAATATAATGCTACAAGAAATATAGATATATATATTTGGCACACTCAAGACTCCATAAACCGTCCTGGACCATCATAGAATTAAAGAATGCACTTTTGTTGGCTTTATGGGGGGAAAAAAAAATAAAACTTGTCTGTGTGTGTGTCTTACTTGTTTAGGGGAGGGCTTCACAAACGTTGCCACGACTATTCAGTCCAAGCTTCCAAAGTCCAATAACTCAAACATGACAAGTCAAACTCTGTTAAGCACCTGCAATGACTAATGTGTGTCCCCTGTTTCCCAGAATCGGTGAGTTATGGAAGACTGGAGATGAGGTGGTTTGACTGTTTCAACATATCACTGCTGTGTTATGAAAACCCTGGATCTCCAAATTATCAAAACATCTTTATTTTAGGGGTTTTTTTTTTAATTTGTAGAAAAGGGTTTCCTGCCATAGAAGGGATATGCAATTGAAAAATGACAATTGCCTTGTTTTTGTATTGCTGGATGCGGTGACATGGAACACCGCATGCGGGTGTAGGAGAGCGAGATTAAAAGTTCAAGGTGTGCTCTGGCACTTAGCTGTCTTTGTGTAGTGTCTGATGAAGATGGAGATAAAGTGGTTTCTTTGTTAGAAGCTGCAGTTTCTTCCTCTTGAAGTCTGTGGGCTTCTTGTACCTGAAAGTCAAGAAGGACCAGTATATACTTCATCATCCAAAAGACAAATATATCCTAGGGGGAAAAAAAAAAACATCCGTTGACTCACAGTTCAATTACGATGGGCCCGGGTTTGATCTCGTCCATTTCCATGAAGGCAAAACATTTTGTGCTGGTAAACTTCTTTTTGGGTTTGTAGTGCTTGAATTCAAAGAAGATAGCTGCTCCTGGAAAAAGGCAAATGCACTGATTAGAAAGATTGACCTTTAACCTCACTTTCCAGCCCGCTCTCCAGAACAACACCTGCTGTGCACTGGTATGTAGAAATTCAGTATTTGTATGTTATGTGTTAGGTATATTTAGTCAGATAGATATTGGATAGATACTTTATGTATTAGAAATGTTTAGTGGAGATAGGATGTCTAGTTAGACTGTTAAATGCTTAGTCATGCTTATGAGTTTCTACAGGGTACATCTAGTCAAGGATAACTAGAGAGAAGAGTTGATGACTGTCAGCAGACAGGATGTTTAATATTATTATGACGTGTATAACAGTAGCCTTAGCCATAATATGTTCTTATGTTTAAGACATGTTACTAGAGGTTGTGAGAATGTTTTTAGCTACACACCACTTAATCAACAGACACACACACACATTGATTTGCTTCATGTTTTGACTACTGCTATGACCAGCTGCAAAGCTGGTAACAGAGACGTCTCGGTTGACGTTTCTGTGTAGTATGGGGCTAGCCCAACCGAGGGGATATAATGTATAGGCCTGGTGGGTTCAGGGTCTTTCATCTTACATCTGCCTGCGTGCAGTTTGGAGGTGCAAGATACCTGAGCGTGTAATGTTAATTTTACCTGTGATCCTTTGAATAAATCAGCACTGTTTTGAAGTTACTTGGACTGTCTCGTCTCTCAGAGTTAGCAATGGTAACAAGAACCAAAGTCCTTCATATGTCAGTGCTGATCATGACTGAATTGATCTGCTAGTGGCCCCTGGACTAGAGCTTGGGCTGCATATTTCTGTGGGCCCGACCCATGTCGAGAGTGTGGTGTCCAAACCCAACCTGGACCTGACACCTTATGTTTGACCTACATGTCCAAACCCAACCCAGGCCCTGTCTGTTTGGACCCCACTCAGCGCTGCTTTGGAGCAAGTCTCAGGCCTTTACCTTTTGGTAATTTCTCCAGATGTCGCTGGATTTCTATGTCCACGCTGAAATGAACGTAGGTGTCTTCCTTCCTGGTGGCCACAGGGGTGTCCTGCACTGGGTTCAAATCTACACCGTTTACATCTGCAAAGAGAGAAACAAAGAGTGTACACTTACTTTGGTCAAAATGCAAATTCACACATACAAATTTTGGTATATTTTCAGACTTAGACATTAAAGAAATGGTTTTACAGTGTCCTGTTGTCACAATACAGAGAGCGAGGGTGTGGCTGTAATGTGAAACCACCAGCTCTGCCCGTCTTTACCACTTCAGCAAACTCAGACTGTTCACTTTAACCCACACGTCACATATTTGAAATGTGTAGGATGGGATGGGATCAATACCTTTGACACTAATGGTCATGTAAGGATCGATGCACTGCCCAGCATCCTTCAACCCAATTTTTTCTATCTTTATTGTGAGTAGTGTCATCCCAGGCTCCGAGGGTAACCGTGGCAACAAGGTACCTTTAAAGGACAAAGGTTACAGACATTAACAGCTGCCTATTGTAACAGTAACATCAACACCTAGCACCAAAGAAGAGCCAGTAGCCAACAGATTGTGTTTTCATTAGCATGTTTATACCATTTGTGCACATCTTTACCATATAAATATTAAGGTTTAAAGACATTTCCAGGTTTGCTCCAGTTCTGTTAGCTTTCAGTTCTTGCTCTATTTTCCGCACAGACATTTCCTTTCTGAAAAGCTAAACTGTGATGCTCAGGTTTCCTGACCAAGGTTTTACAGCTATTGATGTTTTTGTCCACAACACTGGCCTAAAATTACCACATAAAGTTGTAATGTCAAACCTGTTAGCACAGCAGCTCTCCAATTATTAATCCAGCAGACATGGACCGACACTAATGTTCATTTGGAGTCATCTTTCTGGCCCCTTGATGATTCCAAGTCCAATATTAACTCTTCTACTTCTCATTATGGTCTCTATTATCTCCTGAGAGAAATAAATGGCTTTTCAGATGCTACTGTAAACACTCCATTGTTTACCAGCTAGTTGCCGATTGTGTCTGCTTGCAGTTTGGTGGATTGATGAGAGCTGTCGTAATTAACCAAAATAAATTAAAAAAAAAACTATCAAGTTGTGTCCTGTGAGACAAAAACAATGAGCGGACAGAAAACCTGCTATAAAGCCGAGTGCACCTGCTGAGGTGGGTGACACTACTTTAGTGGTATTTCTGTACAGTCAGAAACAAGCTGTAAGGCTGTGTTACAAACACGTCTGTCACGCAGTAGAAAACAAATTCAGACGCCATTCATTCATAAGGCCGTACCTTGCGAAGCTGCATAAGAGACAGGCAGGAATGAGCGATGCAGCCATGCACAGCACCAACAGGAAGAACACAAAGACACATGAAACAGCCCTCAAAAACAGGCCAAACTGACACAACCAGGCAAATGTCTCAAGCAGTGAATGTGTTTAGTGAGCGGTTACTGGTGGGCCAACAGTACCAGGAGCTCGTGGGGGGAAGGCCTCTGTAGAACCTGCTCCTGCTGCTGCATCCTCCTCCTCCTCTAGCTCGAGGTTTTCCTCTTCACCTGGAGCAAGGATTTTCCTGACAAGCAAGGATGGGAATTTTAAGCTCATGACCTATTTAGGTCAGATGAAACTTCTATGCTATCCTCCCATTTATGCTCTCCTACTCTGACATGTCATCTTACCATCCTTAAGTTTTATTTTCTGACTCTCTTATATGGTAATTAAGAGCCTGCTGAGAAGCACTGATTTAGATGATAGGAAAATGAAAAGAGCAGATGGACTATAGTTGGTAATGTGAGTTAATTGTCAGTATTAGAGTTTAGATGGACAAAATAAACATTCTGATGAGGTCAGCTTTGGCTCTGATTCAGGACTTCTGAGGGGAAAATTACACAATTTTGAATATTTTATAAACAAATAATAAACTGATTAATCAAAAAAAGAGAACTTGGAGGGATGTGTTTACTATGGGTCAGGTTCCTGTGTAAAAGCCACAATCAAATATACTGTCAAATAAATAGTTTAAAAAACTAATAATATCAGATATTCAGAGGTGTATATTTACCTTAAGGGCACTGGCTGTACTTCAAAAGGAAATTCTTTGTTGTAGGTCAGTATGTTTTTAATAACTGTAGACAAAAAGAGAAATGGTCAGAATGCCCAGGGATGGCAGGAGGATCGACACATGAACCTCTAATTTCCAGTCATACACCTACTGGTTTCCAATTTCTTCAGGTCTTCTAACTTGAATTCCTCTTTTGTCTGTGTGCACTAAGGAAAAGAAGACAAGGGACACATTTAATTCTTTGACAAAGAAAGAAACAGACTTGGAAATCAATGCAAAAAAAAAACTTTCTGAAAGTTCAAATTCACTCTTCCATTAACCTGATGGCAATTTGGGGTTTGAATGGTCTGATCGTATGTTTTAAAACAGGGTTCACTATTGGTTTTATTTGCATTTAATATGTTTTCTTGCATTTTGTATTTTTGTTTTCATTTGTATTTAGCAGCATTTATTTCACTTCTTTCACAGTTGGCATGTGTACCATGTGTCTGCATGTCTTAATCTGTGTTCCTGCCACATCCACACACAAGCTGTGAACAAAAATTGGATGTGGACATTATGTACTGGGAAGGATGCATCACTGATGTAACTACTGTACCTGACCCTAAGGATATATGCTAATTGGACCGTGTTTCCTTGTATTCTAAGATACAAAACCTTATTTATAAATTCCCCGTGTGACCCTGGTCATACAGACTCAGACGGACACGAACCTGCAGACTGGCACTTCTCATCTCCAGACATGTTGCAATCTTTCCTAAAGTTTTCTTAATAAAAAGAAAACAAAAGACACCTGTTACTTTATGCAATTCAACTTTTCTTTCCAGAGCTGTTTACAGAGAAGTGTAATGATTACCTTCTGCTCCTCTGTGAAGTCTGAGCTTGCCGACTGGACCTCTTTTTGCATTTGTCTTGCCAAACTAAATTAACCAACAAGGACACAGAAACGCATTCATGCTTTAAAATAAAACTCTTGAAGATGCACGTAATGTAAAGCGGCGGTATCGTTTATTTGCGCCCCCTTGCGGTCAGAGAATAAAAGTGTCCAGATCTAGATTTTAGTAGTTCAATTTCATATAAAAGATTAACTAAGAAATCAGATGACACCTCGAAATAAATATAAAAAGCGCTGATTTTGTCTGAAAGGCAGGAAACATTCCTCACTGAACAAATGAAACCCACCCACAACAATAAGAGGGTGTGGCTGACTATTTCTCAATACTCGGAGGAATATAGGCCCATTTCTGCACTACATGACACATAATGAAACCCAGTGCACGAAGCTCTGGATAATTTCCCAGGGCAGGCTTATGAAAGGGCTCTCCCTCTACTCAGACTAGTGGTGAATGAAGCTGGGATGTAACATGCACACAGCGACTCTGCCTCCTCTGTTTCTGCCACATCACGTCATGGATGGTCAGGGTTTATTTACTGCTGTGAGAGCTGTCTGACAGCCCAGAGGCTAACTTCTTCTGAAACACCATGCACCAGCTGTCTCCTACGTGTTATCTCCCTGCAGATCTTAAGGACAGACGGATTAAAAGAAGAGGAAACAGAAGCATGCCGGCCGCTCCTGCTTTCAGGATAAACCAGATGTGTTGAGAGCCAGGAGACACATGTTGAATGCAACTTACATTTGGTACTCATCTATAGCCTCCACTAATTGTCCCCACGAGTCAAAGTCTGTGCCTTTCTTAAAACTGGCGTGCCATTTCTGAATAGTCTTGTTGACATCAGACATTTTGGCGGGGCGAGTACGCGCGGCGCTCTCAGGGCAGCATAGCCGAGGAGGAGATTCATCTACAGGGCTTCAGCAAAGCAGCAGCGTCGTGAGCCAGGTTATTCCGCTATCCAGAGGCGCACAGATAGACCGGTGACACCCCGACCAAGCCCTTTCTGCCTGCTTACCCTAATATCGCATCCGCAAGAGAAAGGAAGTCCCGCCCGGAGCTCGGGGTACGCGCGTTTTTAGACATGGGGTCGACCGAGTGAGCGGCAACAGGATGTCTATAAGTATACTGATGGTAGTAAAACACTCATCGGTGGAAGAAGTACTCAGATTGTTTACTTAAAGAACAGAACAGAACAATGGCACAATGTAAAGGTAAAAGCCTACAATTTTACTTATTTAAAAGTACAAAGTATTAGCATCAAAATGTAATGAAATCAAAGTATAAAGTAGCAGAAAATGAAATTTGCCTAAGTAAAGTACAGATACTCAAAATTGTAAATGGACATAATTACTTTCGACCACTGAAAATACTGCTCTGGAATAAAATGATCAAAAGGCAGTAAAGCTGAATAAAATTAAATGCTAAATGTGTTTTTTTTTTAAATACATTTAGAACACGATGTCGTTTTTCTCTTCCTTTAAACAAGATTTATTTCTGTTAAATGATCCAAATCACAAAAAAGAGTTAAACATTTCAACCCTATATATTCGTTTTCAGATTTGTATCTGGATACGTTTACTTCTATCTTCTGATAGATATCCAGTTTTTTTTATTTGTATGTATTTACGTTTTTATTAGCATATATTAACCCGTCACTTCTTAGGTTTTTAGAGTACAGGACTGAGCAAAACAATATAATGCGAACTGAGTGAGGTGGCGGTAATGCTCCTAAAGCTGTTTGTCATTGAACAACAGCAGAAGAAGAAGTGTCTTCCGGTTTAGCCCATGATTACGGTTTGTCGCTGCTGTGGTTCTCGGTTTATTATGGGGGTACAGGTCTGACATCACATAGGAAGTGATGTGGTTTAGGTTCTGTTAGCCGCTGACAGAAGGAGATAAGATGGACATTGGAACTATGGAGTCAGCTGCGACTGAAGAAGATGAATGTTCAGAGCTGGAAGTGTTTTGTTTGATGAGAGTCGGAAGAAATTTAGACTGGCTTCGCTTGTTCGAAAACACCGAGGTTCAGTTTGCTAATGCTAGCTAACTAGCTCAGTTTGCCTGATGTTAATCATATTAAACTTGTGCTAGTTCACGATATAGTTAGGCTCGCTCTCATATCAAAAATATTTCTCATTTATAGGTCTTTTTTTTAGCTTACCTTATTAGTCGTTACTGGAGTGTATTTATATGTTTTAACGAGCTAAAAGAGCTGCACAATAGACAGCTAACTGTCCATTTAATGATGTTTCTATCTGATTGTGCAGATCACCATTGGACGTGGTGTTGATGTAACCTACCAGCTGTCGTCTCGAAGTTGTCCTCTGATGATCTCCAGACTGCACTGTGTTTTCAAGCAAAAGGGAGATGGCGAGTGGACAGTGACAGATAAGAAGGTAGATAAGTTTCTGATTTGCTCGGCTATGAGTGTTAGAATGTTTTTAATCTTTCTTCAATTTATTACAATAAATAAAGCAAACAAAAACGTACAACCCAAATGAAATGAAATACCTTTCTTTCCCATTTATTGTCTTTAGAAGTGCAAGCAATAGTTCAGTCAATTAATCTTATGGTTGTTTTTTCCCCCATGAATCATTTTGTCTAGCCAGCAGTCCAAAAGCCAAATATAGAAACAGCAAATATTGGACATTGTTAGTTTTTTTTTTTTTATGACAAACAATTATTGAGTTGCATTTCTGAGACTGAGGAACCATAATTAATCAACAGTCATCAACTAATCGTTGTAGCTGTAGTTAACTCGTATGTTGCTCTATGTTGCTGTTGTTTTTAGTCATGTAGTACCTACTTAAAGATGTGTGCTTTGACAGTCCTTTTTTGTGGGCATTTTAAAAGTATTTTCAGCAACGTGAGTATGGTATTGAACATTTTCCACCCATGATGTACTCAATTGGAGTTTATAGTGTAAAAACAATTTCTCCTTACCACCTACTGTACTTAGTGGGTCATCTACTATATAGAGACATGTAGTCTAAGCATTTTTGTACTTCCACCAATAATTGTGAACTAACATAAAGCTGTTGCTTCAGATCCTTCAGATTTCCAAGTTATTTCTCAGCATAAGCCTAAACAAGTCAAATAGGGTCCAATAAAAGCAACTTAAAATCATCAACTTAAATCAATCTGATTTTTAATTATTCTTGATATTCTCATACTGATATCCAACAAGAGCTGATAAAGACGATGTTGTCTTCTTTTTTAGAGTCTCAATGGTGTGTGGGT